GGTCTGAGAGTAGATGGCCCCGGAAGGCTGCCCTCTGTTGGCGCTGATGGGCTCTCGGGTCTAGCCTGGTTCAGACTATCCGATTCATAGCCCTGTACACCCCAGGACCACTAACAGGTGGAGAAGGGACGAGAAAGGGGCCAGGGTCCAGGATAAAAGTTGCCACAGTGCTGGCGACCTGACCCTTGCAGGTAGGACGGGAATGGCTGAGCCTGAACTCCCGCCTTGCCTCCGTTTGCAGAAACAAAGGGAATCAAGGAGAACAGGGCTAGGGCCGCGTGGGGACCCTCCTCGAGCCCAGCTCTAAGCTCACGGCCTCGCGCCCCTAACAGCAGTTGCTCATTCGGATGCAGCAGGTTGGTAGCAGTTTATCCACCGAGAACCGGGTGGCATCCCGGCGTCCCAGCGTGGCCCTCGTTGAACGGAACCAGGCAGCCACACTGCCGGTGCAACTGCTCAAGGACGATCCGGCAGCCCTACAGGGCAACCACCACGCCCCAAATGGTTTCCAAGTGAAGTTGGACGCCCATGGCTTTGCCCCCGAGGAACTGATGGTGCGGGTGGACGGCCAACGCCTGATAATGACCGGCGAGCGCCAAATAGAGACCAGCGACCCGAAAAGGGGCAGTTATCGCATGTCACAGAAGGTGCATCGACAAATGCGCCTCCCGCGGGAGATGGATCCCACTGCCATGACTTGCAGCCTGACCCCCTCCGGCCAGCTATGGGTCAGAGGCCAGCATGGGGCACTCCGTCTCCCTGAAGTCTCAACAGAACGGCAACTCTAAGGATAGTTCCAACCTAGCCTAACCCAGTAAACAACCTCCGGCGTGCGCAGCAGTCTTTAGTGTCGGTCTTCTTTTCTGGGAATGGGGTCAGAGGTATAGGGACTAGGTTCAAGGTGGTGGTTCACCAGCAATCAGGCCTCAGTGGCCTGGCTGAGAGCAGCCACTCCAGCAGGGAGCAGCAGAGGGCTGGGAGTGCCCAGACCTGCCCTCACTTCAGAACCAGCAGAGAGCCTTGAGATCAGGAGGGGGAGGATGGTGCTGCAGAGGGCACAGGTGGTGAGGAAAGCCAGGGACTGCATTAGAGGCCATCGGTATTCCTTCCTCTTTAGGGAAGAGAGGATCCAGTCTCTCATAGGTGTGGTGCAGACAACTAAAAACTCCAGAGGTTTCAGAGACCAATAACCTTCAGAGACTGCACTTTAACCTCAGTGTATCTGCTTGGTGGAGAGCAGGTGGAGGACCAAATGCTAGACTCTCAACTTCAGCCCTAGTCAGTCTGGCCCCACTACCGCCCCATTAGAGCTGCTAACAACAGGGGCCTTTTTCTCTTGGTTACCATGACTACTAGCATCCCTTCACATCAGAGAGGGAAGGTTTCATTTCAAAAGATTCAGTGGTCCATCTTAAACTTCAAGTAAATAAGAAAGGACATGGTCTGATAAATTGCCAGAGAAAGACAAGGAAGACAAGTGTGAGGTCGATTGATCGGCTGACTATATTGACAAGATACTGATTGGTTACATGTTGAAGAATACAATACAAAATACAGAAAAAGTTGGTTCCATTCCCTCCCACTCCCCCCATCCCCCCCACCCCCCATACTCATCATCGTGATTTGGTCAGAACAGAGCTCAGAGCCAGAAGTCAGGGCGACCGAGGGTGGAGGGATTGTGAGCAAGTTTGTGGCTGTCACAATAATGCTGTGGAAATGCTGTGGCTTCTCTCCCAGCTAGGAGTCCAGGGGCTGGGAGGGGGTGGCAGCCTGATGCCAGCAGCTGAGGGGAGAGCTGCCTATCCCTCCCCCAGCTGCAAGGCCTGCCCCACTGCCCCAAACCAAGACCACTCCAAACTAGGTGAGGATGCAGAGTCTTCCTCAGCAAGAGGGAAAAGGGTAATTGCTCCATCCCCTGCCCCCATATATAAGGGTGGGGGGAATAGGAGCAGGTGGCTACTACCAGCAAAGGAAAAGTGGGGGAGCAGTAGAAGGGGGAGGAAGTAGGAAGAGCAGAAGATCATATATATTAAAAAAGTGACTTAAGACTTAAAATTGAATTAGTATTTGTACAGAAAGGTGCAGGTGGAATAACTCACTCCGGCCTATGATCAAAATTATATGGAGAAATCATGGTGGACCCCTCCCCCTGCCCCCCTAGTGGTGGCCTGTTAAGTGCGATTGGTTAGAGTGGATTCCAGTCGGTTCATTCCTTCAGGCAGCGGAGGAGGCAGAGGCGGGGGCAGTGGGCAGGCAGTGGGTTCAGTTGCTGCAGCACTGGCTCCGGCTGGCTGGGTTATTCTCCTGGAGGTCCACACCTCGGTTTCGGCCTGGAGCACCAGCTGCATTCTGGGGCTCATTCTTGGGAAGCTTCTTAGCTGTTTGACAGAGGAGGAAAAAAATACACTAAAATGTAGTACCATTACTATCTCCCAATTCTACTGGGGTGAATCTGGCCTTTACCATCCATTCATAATAACATATTGAGGGCTTCTATGCACTGGGTACATTCTGAGTTTTCCAAGAAACTGAGGCAAAGAGAATTTCTTTTCATTTTTTTTTTTTTTTGCAAAGAGTTTAAATAAATTGCCCAAGGCCACAGAGCTTGTAAGTGGAAAAGCCAGAATTTGGACCTGGGCAGGATAATTCCACAGCCAACTGAGCTTAAAAAAAAAAAACTGGGAAGTGGGTAAGATACAGTGATGGTAGGCTCTGAAATGGGTGGCAAGCTAAAGGGTGAGGGAGTAAAATGTTAGGAGTTTGGCGTAGGCTTTAGGAACTCCTGGGGTTAACTACCCACATCTGGGAGTCAGATGGAGAAAACAATTTTATCAGACTGTTTGAAGTGGTTAAAGATCTGTTGGGGAAGATACCCAGACAGAACAGCAGATAAGTGCTATGCCCTTAGTGGTGGGAGGGGGGAGGCGAGGCAACTTACCTATTGCCATGAAAATTTCATTCACATTCATTGCAGTCTTTGCCGATGTCTCCATGAACAGCAAACTGTTGTCGTCTGCATAGGCTTGTGCTTCCTAATTCAGGTGGAGGTTAAGAAAGGGTGGGAGGGAAATGTTGGCAGGGCCCAAGGTCCAGGATCAAACCCTTCCCTGTTCATGGTGCTTTCTACACACCAGAGGAAGGGGCTTTTGGCTTCTAAGCAACAGCCAATGTCTTACTCAGGCTTCCCTAGGTCCACTCTGCCTTCTTACTCTTCAAAATCACTAGGCTAGGACATACTCCTAGAAAATTTTTCCACAAATACACTAGTACATTTGGACAAAAGTATGTAGATGTTTACTGTAGCACTGTTTTTAGGCTTTTGCTGCAAACAACCTAGAAGCCTAGCGAGTAGGGACTGGTAAAACATCATAAGATGCAGTACGTACAGCATTTCCCCCATTTATGTAAAGATGAGGATTCATATACACGTGCCGACTTCTGGAAAGGCAAAAAACTGTGGGGAACTTCGGGGTAGAGAGATTTGAGTTTCTAGGGTTAGGAGAGTTAAATTTCATTCTATATACCTTCTTGTACTATTTAAATTTTACTATTTGCTAGTATTACATGAAAAAAGTATTTTTCAATAAGTTTAATAAAAGTCAGTTTATAAGAAAAAATAGGCATATTTTTATACACACACGTTTCCACACTGCTAGAGAACAAGATACAGGTGACAGTTCCCTTTAGGCCCATGCTTGAGTCATGAGAGAGCAGGTGGAAGTCCCCTGCTGCCTCCCAGCATAGCCCTTCCCAAAGCCCCTGAGCAGCCCAGGGAGGCTGGGTGGAGCTGGCTTACTCCTTGCCCCAAGTCTGTCCATCTCCCCACCTGGAATTCCACGGCTCTCTTGCTGGCCAGATCCGCCTTGTTACCCGCAAGTGCAATGACGATGTTGGGGCTGGCCTGCCTTTGTAACTCCTTCACCCAGTTCTTGGCCCGTGCAAATGTATCCTGAGGAGACAGGGCCATAATGTCAAAGGGACAGACAAGGCATTCTGCTCAGGGACACTCACTAGAGAAGCTCTAGCTGGCATACCAGAGTAAGACACTGCCACCTTAAGATTCTGGTGAGATATCCCCAAACAACAGAGAAAATCTGCCTACATCCCACCCAGAAATATAGGGTGGAAAGGCCTGAAATCCGAGCTTTGAGAACCCATTGCCTGGGGCTTCAAGAAGATAAGGGCAGAGAAAGAAGTAAGCAAAGATCTTTACTGTATTGGTGATGTCATAGACCACGATGGCAGCTTGGGCCCCCCGATAGTACATGGGGGCCAGGCTGTGATACCGCTCCTGTCCAGCTGTGTCCCAGATCTCAAACTTGACCGTTGTGTCGTCCAAGCAGACAGTCTGTGTGAGGAAGGCCGCTGGAAGAGAGAAGGCTGTGTCAGCAGGCAGGAACAAGTTAGAAGCCCACCCCCATATATTTCCACTGTTGCTTCTAGCCTCTGGCACTTAGAAGTCTGTTGCCGAAATGGACACAGAAAAGCCTTCAACCTAGCAGTGTGAGAAGAAATTGTATTTGTTTTTTTCCTTTTTCTTTATTTTCTTTTTTGCTAAGAGACAGGGTCTCATTATATAGCCCAGGCTGGTCTTGAACTCCCCAAAGTGATCCTCCTGCCTAAGCCTTCCTAGGCTAGGATTACAGGTATGCAGCAACACACCCAGCTACCTTAACACAGGTAATCAAGTTAGAGTTTGTACTTTCATGTATGTCTCTGGGGGATGGGGACTGCACAGACCTTGCAGACCCACCCAAGGCAAGCCTGCTTGCACTTGGGCCTTTTCAGGACCACTCTCAAAGGACCCACAGCAAGGGGCAGAAGAGAAAAGCCCAGGGGAAAGCTGACTCCAGGCATAGAAGGGTGAGCACCCCAACCTCCTCTCCTTCTTCCTACCCCTCAGAGAGAACAGCCCAGTTGGAGAACTCTCTAGTCTTTCAGCGTGCTCCAGCCCAGGGTGTCCTGATGACATTCTCACACACTTAGCTATGCTAAGGAAGTACATTCTGTTCCACCATCAGATTCAGACTGGGTGGCTGGCTTCCCCAACTGTCCCTGCCACCTCCAGGCATCCTGGCTAGTCACCCCCCCAGCTCTGACCCAGACTCATTCCTACATGGCCACTCTGAGGTCTGACCTGCAGGGAGCACAGTGACTCTATCTTAGTGGAACACAGGACACTTGCGCGTATGCTTCAAAGGACGCATCCCAGAGCTGGAATGGACAGGTGGAGTCCCCATTTGCCCCACAGCTGTACAGTGAAAGCCACGGTCCTGTGTGCCCTCCCCCACTGCACTTCCCCTCCCCAGCACAGGGAGCCTGCTGACACAGCCAATTCTGTTTCCAGCTGCTTGGAAACCTCCTACCAACCAATAGAGTACAGAAGGAATGACTCAAGACCAAGGCTGGCCTTGGCCTTGCAAGGTTTATACTGGCGATTGAGGCAGAAGGCTGAGTTTAGCCCCTTACTCACATCCTAAATGCTGACCACTGGAGAATCAACAATAGCCTATGAGCTCCAGAAAGATTAAATGCCAGCCTACCACCCAGCTGCGATGGCCAGGACGTCTATACAGTAAAGAGGGACCCTCTAGAGTCAGCCTCTTCTTCCCCAAGGCCATGTGAGTGGATAGATTTCAAGGCCACACAAATAATAAAGAGGCAGAACCAGGATGGCAAGCCAGTTTTTGACTCCCAGCAATGCTTGTTGGGACTTGGGCATGGACACCAGCTGCAGGATTCAATTTCAAGTCCCACAGGAGGACAAGGTGCTGCTGCCAGATATATT